GGATTTAACAGCCGGGCAGAGGCGGTGCTGAGGGCCAGGGTTTGGGGGTGGGATGGCAGGGGTAGGGGGGCGGTTGGGCTTGATGAATTGCTTTTCCTTGCAGCAGCTCGCCAGGAAAGCCGCCCCCTTCTCCACTCCACGCCTGTGAGAGCACGGAGCAGGCGCTGCAGCATTACTTACACACCGTGTTCCCTGGGGCGTTCAGGTTGGTAACGGGCTTTTTTCTTAACAGCTCGGGGAACGCTCAACTGGAAACTGGAGGTAGAGCAACTTTTGTGTAACTTTATTCCCCTTCTTCCTTACAGCACATCCCACGTGCTCGAGCAGCCATGTATCACCCTACCTCCATACCCCCAGTTTTTTTCTCCTCTTCTGAGCAGACAAGGCTTCCTCCTGGACAAACCCCCCAGTTACTCCTCCCCAGGTAACGGGACCCTGTTGGTCATGTAACAGAGGCCAAAAAGAATTACTAAAGAAATAGTTGAGTGTTTGTAGGGCAAAAATGAGGAGTGTTAAGGGACTCTTGTGCTACGCTGAGCTCAAGTAAAGCAGCAGGGAAAATAAAATTTTGATTGGTATGTTTTAGTAAAGATGTTTGTCCCTGCAGCTGTGGAAAGCATCCCGGTCCTCGCGGCCCTGCAGTCGTCACCGGTTCTGCACACGCTCCTCTACGGCTTATACAAGGATCTCCAGAAGCTGAACACACGGCGCTGGGCCAGCTTCTTCTCTGCTGGAGTGGAGCAGGAGGACTTCCAGGAGGCCTTACAGGAGCTGAGAACTCTGTCCGAGTGCTATGAAACGGGGCTGGAGGCAGACGAATCTGAAGATGAAGCGGATTCAGACTAACTCACCTTTATTACAAGCGCTAGTGAAAGAATGAGATTGCTCTCAAAATAAAGGGAATGGCTTTTAAGATGGCCCAACTGCTCCTTCCCTTTCAGCAGCCTCCTGGTACAAAGGCTGGGTGAAGTCACCCGGCTACTGGCAGTTGTGTTGGAGAGGAGAAAAGCTACTTTTTTGGGGCTGGTTTTTATGGTTTGGTTGGGTTTTTTAACTCTGCAAAGTGAGTTTGCTCTGCCTGTTAGAATAAGACCACACAATAAATACAGAATTCAAGATTGTAACTTTCCCACATACAATCAACACAGGGGGAAAGCTTACAAACAAAAAAATCATGTGTGTGTTCCCCATGAAAACAGACATCTTGTGCTACAACATTTACATGTTTTTGTCAAAGGCTGGGGGCCCAGCCTTCACCGCGGACCGAGGTGTCACTTCTGTCATTTCATTGCTGAAGCTCCCCCCGTGTAGGTTCTAGGGGACGTTCTCACCCTAATGCCTTCCTTCAGGTTGGTACAGATTGAGAAGTGCAGCTCGTCAGGTGTAGCGGGAAAGTGAACAAGAAAAAGGTGCTGTTGTAAGTACCTGTGCAAATATTTTTCCTTTATCCACAGCACCTGTCTAGCAGCAAACTGGCAAACAACTCTCCCGCTTCAGTCAGTGGCTGATCACGCGGGAGGAGCCTTAGTCATCGGGTTCTTCCTCAGAAAGCAGAAGATCTTTATCTGACAACTGGTCCGTGTTACTGGTGCTAGTTGCGTCCTCCTCATCTTCTGAGCTCCCATCACAGGACGTATGAAACAGCTTCATCAGTTCTCTGAACCTGTGGGACACCTGAGGAACACGGGAAATCCAAGATGATGAGGCACGTAAGAGCCGGCCCAAAATGGGCGTTTCCTAGTTCAGGCTCTTTGTGCCTTTACGCTAAAAAGCCGACAAGTGCATTTTATGCAAGAGTCAATCAGAAAGGAAAGAGAAATGGAAGAGCACGGGGTTGTTCTGTTTTCTTTGGAAGAAAGAGGAAAGGCTGAGGGAGCTGGTCTTGTTCAGCCTGGAGAAGAGAAGGCTGAGAGGGGATCTCATCACCACCTACAAATATCTCAAGGGTGGGGGTCATGAGGACGCAGCCAGACTCTTCCCAGTGGTGCCCAGCGCCAGGACAAGGGGCCATGGGCACAACCTGAAGCAGAAGAGGTTCCAGTTGAACGGGAGGAAGAACTTGTTGACTGTGAGGGTGCCCGAGCCCTGGCCCAGGCTGCCCAGGGGGGCTGTGGAGTCTCCTTCTCTGGAGATCAACCCCCGCCTGGCCGCTGTCCTGTGCCCCCTGCTCTGGGTGAGCCTGCTTGGGCAGGGGGGTGGCACTGGGTGATCTCTGGAGGTCCCTTCCAACCCCGGCCAG